GCCTTTGCAGAAACCTGGGTCCTAGGAAGAGTCTAGAAAAGACTGGAGAGAGACTACAAGGGGTCCAAAGTATTTGCCTTGGACATGGCTGGCCTGTTTTCATTCCAACACCCTGTATGGTCCCTGAACCCCACCAGGAGCTAATCCCTGAGCACAGAGTCAGAAATAAACCCTGAGCACCAACGGGCCTGGCTCAAAACAAGACCCAAATAATGTAGTGTGGTGGCTGAGTGGACTCTGGGGGATATTTTGGTAATGACATTCAGAAGTGAGCAATGAATTCATGCAGTGGTGTGTGTGTGTGTGTGTGTGTGTGTGTGTGTGTGGGGGGGGGGGGGGGGTGTGGAGAGGTATCAGGAAAGGGCCAGGATGATTCTTCCTTCCCTTCTTTGTTTGGGCCCCCCAAGCAACCCCCCTAGTCAGCTCCAGATGGGCCCGGTGGCCAAGGTGCATAGGCTGGATGGGCCTCTGTGATCTCCCCTGCTGCCCTGCCTTTCTTGGGTAAATGGGTCTTTGTAATCTTAGTCCTCTGGGGTTGTCTCAGTCTCTGTCCCACAAGAACCTTCTAGAAAGAGCACGGGAGGCTTCTGCATCCTCTGTCTCTCCATGCTCCAACTCTAGCATTGTCCCTAATCCCCCACGCGTGGCCTTGTCCTGGGCCTCCCACTCTATCCAGCAGAAGCTTCTGTTTGCCCCGCTGGTGCTGGCTGCATCCTGAGCATCCCGGTCCCCCTCCTTCCTGCCACTCCTCATTCTCTTAGGCAGACACTCCTGGGGGCACCTTAGCATCATCTCATCCTGACAAGCTCCTCTGGGCATGCCTTAGAAGATGGCTAGTCTGGAGCTCTGGGACACAGACAAGTGTATGTTTGGGGTTTTCTTGTTTCATGGGGGCCAGCCTCTATGGTGCTCAGGGCTGACTCCTGGTTCTGCACTCAGACTTATGTGGTGCCAGGGGTCGAATCCCGTTTGGGGCTCCATGCAGGGCCAGTGCCCTACCAGCTGCCCTAGCTCTCCATCCCCTAGTGTTAACTTTTGAAAGAGATTTTGTTTCTCCTTTCTGAGACATAATTTTTGATTTTGTCTCTGTCATGTTCATGCTTACTGAAATCATTTTATGATACCTCTAAGTCAAGGCCAACATGGCCGACCCGAGTTCGATTCCTCCGCCCCTCTCGGAGAGCCCGGCAAGCTACCGAGAGATTTGATATGCCAGACACAGTAACAACAAAGTCTCCAATGGAGACGTTACTGGGCCCGCTCGAGCAAATCGACGATCAACGGGAGGGCCTAAGTCAAGCCTAATGTCCATCTTGTTGGGTACTGGTTTATCATTTCTTATTCATGCTCAGAAATTCCTGATTATTTGGAGATTTCTGGGTTGGTTTTATTTGGGGCCCATACCAAGCAGTACTCAGGGATCAGTCCTGGAAGAACTTGGGAGACTATGTGAGGTGTCAGGGGTCTAACCCGGGTCAGCCATGTTCAAGGTGAATGCCTTCCTTGTTGTATGCTCTCTTTCCAGCCCCAGGGAACACATCCACGTGTCGCCTGGAAGCTTCCCCACATCACTCCCTGCATGCTTGCCTATTGTCTGCCTCCTGCCCCCACAGTCCTGGGACTTACTGCTTCAGCTGCAGTCAGGGTGGCTTCACAGCTAGACAGGCCACAGCCAAGACACCCCCCACTGCCTTATCTTACCTCCCTGGGGCCAGGCTGTCTGCAACATCCTGAGAGACTTTTCTGGTCTGATGTTTCCTTCAGTCAGGCCAGCCTGGTACCTGTGTAAACGGCTGCCAGCTACACTTTTCTTGATGTCTCACGACTCGGTGCTGCCTGGACCTGCCCAGACCTCAACCCCGCAATGCCGCTGCTCTCCCGAGAGCCTTTCCTCTAGGCTGGACCACCGAGAGTGGACAGGACGGAAGCCACAAGTGTGTTCTATTGGCCTAAATATCTCCGCATCAGTGGCAGTGGAGAGATCACTCACAGGCTGACCACTTGAGACAGATTCACCCAGAATGTTACAATGGGCAGCTCAAGAACCAGCCCAGACGGGTCCGTGTGCAGAGCCTCAGTCCCTTGGAGAGGCACTGCCCATCAGGGCCAAGGCGAGCCACAGTCTTTGCTCACACAGAAACCAGCTCACGGCAGAGGCAAACAAATTCCAAAATGGACTCAGGCATACGTTTATTATAAACAAAAGAGAAAATCAATGTTATCAAGTTAGATGCATTTTATTAAACAAATTTTTCAAAGCTGGCCCAAGTGGTGAGATCGGCAGGGAGCCTTTGTGGTTAAAACCAAACTAACTGAAAGACAGTGCACATGTCTGCATGGGAGTGCAGCTTCTGGTGGGGGAGCTGGTCCTGAGCTCTGCATGGCTCGCAGCCTGAGTGGCCAGTTGTCCTGAGCAAGTGTCCCGGACCCCAGCATGGACAGCATACAGAGTCTGGGAAAATGCCACTCACAGATCAGAGACCTTCCACCTCCTCAAAGCAGAGTCACAGTGAGCAGCAGCGAGTAGTTATGCTCATCCAGCAAAGAGCAGGAAAAGGAACCATGTGTTGCCAGGCACCTCAGGGCAGGCATCTGCAGGTGGGCAGGAGAGTCGCAGGACAGCAGCCATGGGAGGGCTGATCATTCCTTCTGGATGGTGAGCTCGTGCCGGCTGGCCTCCTCGATGTCTTGGAGCAGGCGCCCTTCCCACTGCTGCACCTGCAAAGCCTGTGGGGAGACAGCACTGAGCCCCGCAGCCTGTGGGGGGCCCGGGGGCCCATCAGGGCCTTTCCCTGACCCCTGGCACTGCCCAGCCGGGGAGCCTCTCCCCACCTGGAACAAAGACCCCCAAACAGAGCAACACCCTTAAGAGGCCAAGTGTCCATGTGGAGTGAAGGAGCTGGACCCTGGGAGAGGCCATGGGGGGGGGGGGGGGCTCTGGCCATGCTGGGCATCGGCCAGGCCTGAGTCTGTCTGAACCAGCACGGTCTTTGTTGCACGGGCAGCGCCTGGGTGCGGCCACTCTTGAATCCATAGGTCACTTTAGAATAACGTTTACGCTTTCCATCATGAGCACAGGATGAGGTTTTATTTTTGCTTTGGGGGGTTTTTTGGGGGGTGGCATTTTTCTACTTTTAGTAATGTCTAACACTTCTCAGTGTAGTCTTTTATATCCTTTGTTACTTTTGTTCGCTAAAGTGTATGCCATCATTTTGCCTAAAGTTGGAAGCCATATTTCACATTTTTAACTCTTGCAAATGCTTGGCATATAAGGATATTTTAATTCCTTATATTTCTTAAGGATCCTTATCTAAACATAAAATTACTCTTTCATAGGATTTTATTTTCAGGCCACATGGTGTTGGTCAGGGCTTCCTCCTGGCCTCAGGGATCGTCTGCAGTGTGGAGGCAGGAACCAGGCCACTGAGGCCCGACAAGCACCTCGGTCCTCACTCTTCCTCCATCCCCTTTTAGAGTTTGTATTAAAAAAATGAAAAAACATGCATTCTTTTATGCTAGATAACAATTTCAGTCTAATGCAAAAAATAAAACCTGACAGAAAAATACAAAGGATAAAGGTATTTTCCACCATATACACATTAGCTTGGGGAAGAATTACATTAAAGAACTCAAGACCGTTACACAAATCAATTTGGTCTTAGGAAATGCAAACTGTTGTTTTCTGATGGAAATCTAGGTGAAAGGATAGAAAAAACAGATGAAGCCTTTCTACATGTCATCCTTGTGTGAATCATTAGCTCCTGAGATTCCAAAATACAGATGAAGTCTTTCTAAATGTTATCCTTGTGTGAATCATTAGCTCCTGCTATTGATTTTAAATATATACTTACCTCTTTAATAAATAACCTGACTAACACTTTCAATGGCAGGATCTCTGAAAATAGATAGCTTCATGTTTATCAGGGGAAATGACCCTGGGAAAATTGAATGGTTCTCAGAACATCCATGTTGCTGTGGTTCAGAATAGTCTCTTGGGGGAACTTTTTACATGGGCACTGCCACCCTTATATTAAAGTGAATTGTGATGCAGTTCCACTGGTACATCTGTCCTCCCCTCCAGGGAGCAAAGATGTTTGAAATTACTGGGAATCAAGCAGAAATCTTTTAAGTACCTGCACTCTAAGAGAAGCACCCTGCCTTCACACTCACTGTAGGAAACAGCCTCCCCACACTGCCTGCTCTGATGCTCTGAGCTCACATGACAGAGGATTCTGGGTGCAGCACTAGGAAGAAGCGTCCTAATTTCCCGTGACTCTTGGAATAAGCCTGAACACTTTCTTTGTGCCAGGCAGTTCTCTAAACACTTGGACGTGCACTATCGCAGTTTACCCTTAGAAAAGTCTTCTCAAATGGAGATGATTATTTTTTAAAAATCACAAGAAAATAAACCATGGTAAGAGAAGAAATGCAGAAAGCCTGACACCCAGCTGCCAAGTAGTTCTGAGAGCGAGCGAGACAGGTGAGGAAGGGTCTGTTGGATAAACAGGCGCCAAACAGACCCAGAACACGTTCAGGTCACATCCTCAGGAGAACAGAGTCCCAGGGTGCGAGCTCGTGGAGGAGGGGCCCAGACAGGATGTGGGGGTCTTTGGGCAGCCGCTCAGCATGTGGGGGAACAGACAGACGGTCCTCGGAGCCATGGGGAGCTTCTGCATCACAGACCACCGGCCTATGTGTGGGTGGGCTGGCACCGCGCTGAACAGCTGGGACGGGGAGGTGCGCGCAACTGGGCGCGCTGACAGCGGGGACGGGGAGGTGCGCGCAGTTGGGCGCGCTGATGGACGGGACGGGGAGGTGCGCGCAGTTGGGCTGATGGACAACGGGGACGGGGAGGTGCGTGCAGCCGGGCTGCTGGACAGCGGGGACGGGGAGGTGCCCGCAGCTGGGCGTGCTGGACAACGGGGACGGGGCGGTGCCCGCAGCTGTGCGCCTACCACGGCCGCCCGCGCCTTCGCCTTCGCGCCCCGCCTACTCTTCCTGGGCGAGGTCCTGACTCCGGGCAGTGCGGCCTCTGCCCGCGGCTCCTCCGGGCGGCTGGTCCTGGGCAGGTCGTGCGTGGCCTCCAGGGTGCTGCCACCGTGGAACTCTCTGGAAGACTTCCGTTTGTCGGCTGAACGGTCGTGAGCAGCCGCGCCGCGCTGGGGGCCCTGTGGGAGAACAGCGCCGGTCAGTGCCCGCTGACCTGCAAGCCGCCGTGTCCATCCGGGCCTGGCGTCGGGACTGCCAGCGCCTCGGTTGCAGGTGAGTGCTCCGCGGAGCAGCCCCGTGGTGGCTGCGATCCTGCCCGCCTTTCCCTTGCTTTGGGCTTGGTTTCTTTCCCTGTTTGTTTGGTCCAAGTTTAAGCATTTGGGCCAGAGAAATGGTACCGGGAAATGGCACTTGCCTTGCATGCAAACAAGGTTCCTTCCCTGGTACCCCCTACACACAGCCCACCCCCCAAAACAAAAACTCAGCATTTATCAAAAACGTGGTTTTTGAGTTTTTTGGGTTTTTTTTTTTAAGGATAGAATTAAACAGATGACTTTTAGGGAAAAAAAAATTTTTTTTTTTGAAGTACAAAGCATTATCAAAGAAATAATCTTAACATTTAAAATCACTGTCTATAAAATACTTCTTGGAAGCAGTGAAGGGTTTATTTTTTTAATAGGTCAGATTATGCTGCATAGGCCCCACGCTGATAAGTATTTCCAAAATGTATTTGGAAAATATATTATTGTCTCAATTTGGAGCCTCGATGTCAGCGTGCAGGAATCCACTCTTGGTTGTATATACCCTGAAGACTTTCTTTTTTTGTAATATTTGAGGCCTGATTTTAGTCTTAACTAAAACAATTGAAATAACAAGATAAATTTCAAATGGGTTGTAAATAAGATTTAAATGTAAAAAACAAAACTATTGAGCATTGAAAGTAAATGTGGGCCTATTCCTCTATAAAGGTGACTATAATTCACAACACAGAGTCATAAACAAAAGAATGAGTTAAACACATTTAAAAAAATCTGCGTAGTAAAACCCAAAACTACAAAACAAAAATTTCCTATGCTATACTAAGTGAAGAAAGAAAACCATAATTCTTATTAAAGACGACCAAGAAGATAATCTTACTATCCTGGAGGGAAACCAACAATCTAACAGATGGTGAGAAGGGGCTGTAGTCATGGTGCATTTTAAAGAACTCACAAGGAAAGAAACCGTGGTAAGAGAAGACATGCAGAATGTCGACACCCAGCTGCCAAGTAGTTCTGAGAGTGAGACAGGTGTGGGACGCTGCACCCCATATTGTCCCAGAGCACAGAGCCAGGAGTGACCCCAAAACAAAAACCAAGAAATGGCAGAATCCTTAACAACTTTTTTACATACAAATGTTGAACACACCAATGAGGAAAGAGATCCGTGCTTTGGTTAGGAAGATGGTGCAGGCGCTAAGGCATGGGGCCAATCCTGATTTGTCCTCCGCTCCCGTCGCATATGGCCCCTGAACACTGCCAGGAGTAAGCTGCGAGCACCCTGTGTGTTGCCAACTTTCACCCCCAGATAAAGAGATAGTGTTTTGTGTAATGACTTTTTGTGCAAACCAAGGGGGATCAAAACATTCAAGAGGAGGCTAGACTGATGGTGGGGGCTGGGGAAGGGATGTCAGGCCTTTCTAGGTACCAAGAAGCTACTACCTACCTACGAGTGGAAAGGGAACAAAATCAACCCCACATGTCTGCTGGAGAACCGGCCAGGTGAGACTCAGGTAGTTGACCATGGTCCTCCGGAAGGAGAGTCTGAGGGGTGCCAACTGCTGGACGTGAAGGGTGCAGGCTCGCAGCTGGCCCTGGCCTCTAGGGGCCATAGCCGGCAGTGCTCAGGGCTAACTCAACTTTGAGCTCAGGAGTCAGTCCTGGCCAGCTGGGGGAACCATCTACATTGCCAGGGACTGATGCCAGGACTATTGCCCTCCCCACTGGTCATCCCTCCAGCCCACTGCCCTCTGGCTACAGAGCCTGGCTGGGCTGACGGGTTGCCCCAGCTCACTGTACCTGGGCTCTCTGGGTCCTGGCCTGTCACCCCTCCTCCCTTGCGGGGCTAGGGACTCCCTGCGCAGCTGCAGAGATAAGGGTGAGAAGTGTGGTGGGCCAGGGACCCCTGGGGCGGGTCTGCACTGATGGAGTATGGAGAAGGGCCAGGGCCATGTGTTACCTCTGAGCTCTGGGCTAAGAGGCAGAGTAACGGGCTCTGGACGAGTACGGGGTGGGGAGTGTCCAGGCAAGGGGACCTGACTCCGCATACCAGCCGGAGCCCAGCTTCCCGCCTGCACTGGAGATTCGTGCCAGCCTGCCGGCCTGCGCCACACTGCCCAAAGTCCCCATCCCTGCCCATCCTCCCTGGCCAACCTGCTCTCCTGGCTGCATCCTGTTTCCCGAAGCTGCCATCGTAGCACCGCTCCAGCCTTGGCCCCTTAAAGCCCACAAGGCCCTCCCTGCACAGGTGGGCAGGAGCAGAACCTCCTTATGCACTAGCTGAGCCGGCAGGGAGAGCCCTGAGTAAGCCCACCTGTGGGCTGCTCACTGGACACAGCTGGTGTGTCAGCCTCCCAGAGCAGGAGTGAGGGCTGGGAACTGCCAATGAGTGGCCACTGGGGTGCCCCTTCGCCCCCTCATCTCAGGTGACCGTCCGCGTCCCAAGGGCACAGTGACCCTGGCAGAGAGCACCTGCTGTCAGATTCTGTTGTCCGAATGTGATCCCAGCGGGCCTGCAGGCAGTCCGAGCCCAGCCCAGTTCCCTAACAGGCTTTTCTTTGTGTTGCCCTTTGTTTGGGCCACGCCCAGCTGTGCTCCCAGCTATACTATTTGCAGAACTCGGGGTTTCTGGCTGACTGTGCTCAGGAGTACAATCAGGGCTGCCACCTGAGCCTCCCAGGAGCCCGTGCTCAGGCCCTGAGCAACCTTTGGTCTGTAGTTGGCATTTCGCAGGACTCCACTTGAGGCTGCGCTAATGAGTGCCAGGTGGGACCTTGCGGCCCGTCTTTGAGACCTGCAGAATTGTGTGGTCTGGCCCAAAATAGGACAGAAGCTGCTCCTTAGCTCCCAGGCCCCCTTCCTGCGTGGTCTGGGCCCAGGAAGCTGTTATAAATATCCAGTGGCCCTCCATACAAACCCTTCAGCCTGGAGACCCTTAAACTCAGCCTCACCAGACTCTAAGGCACCTGTTTATCATTCTCATTTCAGGGAAAGACCTAGTCTGGAGACTTGGAGAATCCAAGGTAGTGTTTGGCAAAACTGAGGCAGGCCTTGGATTGTGACTCCAAAACCAGTGTTCCTTGCTCTTGTGGCTTTTTTTCTGGCTTGTTTTTGTAACATTTGTTTCTGACCTACACCCGGGGGTGCTCAGGGCTCACTGCAGGTTCTGCACTCAGGAGTCACTCCTGGTGAGGCTCAGGGAATTCTCAGTAGTGCCGGCAATCAAACCTGGCCAACTGTGCAGGGCAAGTGCGGTACTTATTGTGCTCGCTCTCTGACTCCAGACTCAGTCCTCCTGAGAGCTGTCTTCAAGGCTGTCTTCCCCTGAGCCCCAAGAAGGGGCTGACCGTGTGCAAAACAAAAGCCTTAAGCCTGAACAATCTCTCCTGCCCTTCCTTTCTGCTTTGAAAGGGCATTATTCATCTGAATTTGGCTCTTAGGCCACTGTGTGATCTGGAGCAAATGTTTGTTTGTTTTTCCCTATTTTCTCTGTAAATGATGAGAATTGAGTGGAAATGTCCATGTCCAGGCATGTGAAGTGGGGCAGTGGTTCTCCAGGCGCCCAGGGCCAGGCCCAAGTGTGACTCGCCCACTCTGCTTCTGCCTGTGGCTGCCAGAACAGAGCCACCCTCAAGGAGGCTGGGGTCCCTGAGTCTGGGAATGAGGGATCTGGAAACGCTTTTGAATCTGGGGAATCCGGGGCGTCCTGCCACTCTCTTGGCCACAGACCGTCACAGTGGGACTATGGCTCAGGAACTCTCGGCCACCTGGGAAGCATCCGTGTCCCCCTGCTGATGGAGCTCTAGGCGGGACAGAGCTTCTGTAGCCCCAGTGGGCATGAGGTGTGAGAGTGAGAAACAGACCAGACTGCGACACAGTTAGGGTTCTGTCACCTGGGCTTTTGCCACAAGAACAGTGAGGGAATAAACTAGGGCATATTTAAAGAGAGGGATGCACTGAAGGTAAACACACGTATATGCACAAGAATACATGTACAGTATGTACATATATACACATAGGTATGCATGTGTCAACCTCCCCAAAGGAGTAAGCAATTAAAGCCACAAATTTGACTTTGTGTGGAAGGAAGAGATGAGAGGACAGCGGGAGATTACGCCCTGACTTCTCCCTGGGAGCCCTCCCCAATGCTGTTTCTTTTTCCTATTTGATACTTTAAAGACTCTTGACTTACAAAGTTGTTTGTAACACTGTCATTTCAGGTATTTAGTATTCCAACACCAATCCCACCATCAGGGTGGCCTTCCCTCCACCAGTGTCTGAAGTTCCCCTCCCAAGGCACCAGCCCCCTTCACTTTTTTTTTCCGCATTCGGGGGTGGGTGGCGGGGGGCACAAAGGATTCACTTTAGGTTGCTTGTTATGTTACAACATCTATCAAGTAGTAGCGCTGTAAGGGTTGCTGAGGATGCGCTGAGCTGGAAGGGGCTGACCGAGCCTTCCGTGCCATTCATTTTGCTCACTGAGCTCAGTGGACTTCTGCACAACTTTCCCAGTCTAGTTCTCTATGCTGCTGTGGTTGGTCAGTACTGTGACCCCTGGAGATGTCATAGGGTGGCCATGTGCTCCAGCTTTGTCACTAGGATGATTCAGCACAGCATTTTGTGCCCACCAGCCGCTGTGCTTCTCTAAGATGGGTCATGGGGCCAGGCTGGGCCGTTAAAACTCAAGCAGAAGTGGGCGTGGGTGGGTGTAGGACTTGCTCTGCCCCTCCTGGAGTCTCCAGTGACCTGGACCCAGAGTTGAGGCTTCTCCCCCTCTGTTCCCTGTGTGCCACCTTCCCCATCCCACCCGAGGAGGAAGCATTAACAGTCAGCAAGGGTGCGGGCTCTGGAGTGTCAGGTCTCTGTCTGTTGGTGCTCTGCAGTCTCCCAACCCATTTAACTAGGGATCTACCTTTCAATTTTAAGGTATGTATAAATTTAAGGCATTTACACACACACACAACCACTATGGACAAGATGTTATGAAAAAATAGTCTTAATATAAGCAGAACAGGATGATCCCATTAAATCACACACACATCCACATGTCCAAAGAGACATTGGTTATTCAGCAATACCGGCTGGCAGGATAATAGCTAAACTTTCACATCACTTAAATCTATCTCGAGTTTTTCCTAAAAAGAGCATGTAAGTAATCATTGTGAACAATGAAACGCCATCATCTCCTTGTGGGGAGGCTGAGGACTGGAGGAGGGAAGACCATGTCCATATCCTTGGGTAGTCACGAGAGCCAAGAGAGTCCAGCCTCCGACTGTACCTGGCTGCCCTATACTCCTGCCCCTACCTCCTTGTCCCCACGCCCAGGGCCTCTTGACCACCTCCCGCCTGGGCACACTGCTTGTAGCGCAGCAGAACACTATGTTTTTGAATAAAAATTGTTGTGAAATCTGCAGTTTCCAAAGTCACAGAAATCTGGCACATAAGCGTCATCTGTCACCACTCCATTGAACAGTTATGGGGCGATGATGGGGCTGGGTGTGTGTGCAGGCCCTCTGGGATGTCCAGGCCCAGCACGTGGCAGGACCCAGCCCTGCTTCTTGCCAAGTTTCACCCTTTGCTGTTGGCCCTCAGAAAAGTTCTCTCCACAGTGCCTGATGGCCATCACAGAGTAGGTGAGGGTCAGCAGTCACTGAATTCAGCAGGATACAAAACGAAGTTCCTAGTTTTCCATGCAAAATCTGCATTCTAGTTTCAGATAACACCCGTGGCATAGAAAGGCTGTTCAGAGTCTGCACTGCCATGTTGATGTGGTGGGACGTAGTGCCTCCTCACTGCTCCCATCCTCAGGAAAACCTCTGGCCCCAAATACTCAGCAAATGGGAGCATCTTCCCCTGCTTCTGTCCCCAGGCCATTAATAATCATCCCTCTCCTCAGCATTTCGCCTTTACTGACATTGCTTGAAAATTTCAGTACAACAAATATTTGTTGTTTCTGTACTATGCAATGTTTGCTTTCTTATAGTATGATGTTTGATACTTAGAAACATTTCTGGCTGGGAAAACATTTCACCCTAGGTCTGCCTGTTCTTTGAGACAGCAAAGGCCCTGTTCTAAGATCATGAGGGGACATATTAAATCTCTTTCCTCTGTCTCTACTGCATGCCCTGGAAGTATATTCCTGTGCTTTCATCACCACACAGCAACGTGAAACCAGCCCTAGAAACACTGAAATCATTCAGCCTGACTCACATAAGTGTTCACCCTTGCTTTTCCCTAGAGCCCCCCAGGACCCTTTGATGTCATGACACCAACTTTCCTGCATCGGAATCACTTCCTCCCCTGGTATGTCTCAGTGATGCTGTGTCTCCCTCCCCTCTCTAGGTCTTAGGATAGAATAAACTTTTTTTCCTCTCTAAATTAATATTCTTTTACTGCTAAGTCTCATTGAGTTTACAGCCCCCTTTTTAAGCCTTCAAAAAGTAAACTCATTTTAATTCAGGAAAGATGAGAGAGAAGAAAGAGACTCCCATAAAGCAAAGAAAGAACACACTCTATCCAGCTGATTCCAGGATAGGTGTCACAATCCTTATACAATTTTTATGCAGCCAATATTGCTCTAGGTTGTCTTTGACCATAGGTTATAAATAAGAGGCTAAAATAGTTGGTTCTGTACAAAAACAAAGACCACAGAGGAAAAAAATCTGTAAATTTCATTAGTACCCAAATGAGCTCTAAATATCAAAGAAGACATAACAGTTTATACAAAAAATCCTAAAGATTCAACAACAAAAACTATCTCAGTGCTGATAAATTCACTAAAGCAAGATTGGAGAACACAAAATTAAAACACAAATGTCAATCTCTTTTGAATACTCCAGCAATGAATATGTAAAATTTGAAATAAAAAACGACAGCACAACTAATATTACTATTTCCCCAAATTAATAACTTGTATAAATATAATAAATATATACCATATATATGAATACAATGACATTTTGGTGAAAGATAAAAAACAAATGAATATATTCATTTCACATGTCAGTCTGACACAATATTGTCAAATGCCCATTCTTACCAATTCTGATTTATAAAATCAGTACAATCACCACCAAAACTGTAATAAGTTATTTTATAGATATTGGCACACTGATTTAAATGCTATTTACAGAATGACAGAAGGCCCAGCTTAGCCAACAGAGTATTGAAGAATGAACATTATATGTCTTCAAAATTTACTATATAACTATAGTAATTATGCAAATATTGCATCAAAGGCTACTGAATATCAGGGAAACAAACTCAGTTTGGGGTAATACTGGTGAATAGACAAAGCAACGGAACAGTTGAGGGAGTTCAGAAATTGACCAAATAAATATATGCAACTTGTCTTTGGCAAAGTAATAAAAATAAAATGAAGAAAGAGCACTTTTTTTTTAACATGTACACCTTCAAATGAATCTAGAAACTTTCCACCATTTCTAGAAATGATCTAGAATGATCCATTTCTAAAATGATCTGACCGTAAGACTGAAGTGTTTAAAGCATAGAAGAGAAAAACTTGGACACGTAGAGAAAACCCAGAGGCCCTGGGCCTGATGATGGCATTTAGAGAGCACGTACATGACCCACAAGAACAAATACGGATGAGCTGAACTGTACTAAAACGAAAAGCTTCTGAGATGCAAAAGATAACATGGAAGGAATGAGACAAATTACCACATACTGAGAGGAAATATTTACAGAAGATAAGTCTGATAAAGTCTGCTGGCAAAGTATGCACATGGAAATGTTAAGAAAACTTAAAAATAAAACTGATTAATAAGTGGCCAAAGGTCTGACCATTACATTCCCAGAGAAGATAAACATATGACAAGTAAACACCACCCAAAAAGTATCACCTCTTACCATCTGATTAATGTGAATTAAGATAAAGATGCACAAGTATTCTGAGTGCCACAATTTAGCACCGAACAAAGTCCAATGATGAAGAGAATGTGGAATGTGGGGGGCCCAGGCAGTCCCATGACTGCACCCATGGTGCAGCCTGTACTGCAGTGCAGACAGCTGATAACACAGTCAGCCAGACAATGCAGTGCGAGCCACCCCCATGTGCCGTCTCCTGTGGATGGACGATGGAGCGGGTGGCAGGGAAAATGGGCCATGGTGATGTGCAAACTAAAATGGCCCACTGAAACGGACTGAATGAGAGCCAGGCACCTCCCCACCCACCCACCCAGGGCCCCCCATCCTTACTGAGGGTGCTTATTCTTTCAGGTCAGACGACGAGCAGAGTTGTGTGAACTTGTGAGTGCAGACATGAAGGGGACACATAAGTGATGAACTCCCTGGGTGGAGCGGACCCCTGACCTGTGCCTGGGCTCTGTGTGCGCTGTGTGGGGGATCTTGGAGGTCTGAGGTGAACTGAGAGCTCAGGCTTGCAGAAGCGTGGAGGTGTTTGGGTGAAGACGTGACCCTGAGCTCGGGGTAAGACCAAGAAGCAGAATGTCCAGAATCCCCGCACCATGCCAGGGAAGCAGCTGCTTCTCATCCAAGTTTTGGGCACTTTATTTTATAGTATGGGTCACACCTGGTGTTGTCCCGAGGCCACTCCTGGCTCTGCAGGAATCATGCCTGCTGGTGCTCAGGAGGCCACGTGGGATGCCGGGGATTGAATCAGGATGGGTCACACGCAAGGTAAGTGCCTTCCTGGCTGTCCTGTCTCTCCAGTGTCACACGCACTTTTAACCTCGAACCTACAGCCCTCATCTTCCCAGATGGTTGTTAATGTCTAACATAACCAGATCCTACAGCCCATCAGGGGTAACCTCTTCCTACACACAAAGCAGCAGAGTCTAGTAAAACGGTCACAGAGTTCCTTGCTGAGGGGGTAGGGGGGCTGTGACTTGGCTTTGTCTCAGCCCACCCTGCCCAACCTCAGCAGCCCCTCCTCTCACCACTCACCCAGGGCTGAGTGCCCGCCCTAACGCCCTGCAGCGTGTGCCCAGCCACCAGCAGACGGGCAAGTTTGATTAAACTAGTGGCTCCAAAGAGGAGCAAATGCCAGGATGCTCTGGAGACCACAGCAAACACAGAGGACCAGGCTTCGCCCCAGAGATTTGAGCCAGGGGGCTGGCTAGAGTTCGCGTGCTGCATTTCTCCCTGGCCCCCTGGAGGTGAGGCTGCCCAGAACCATGACTTTTGGGGCCCAAAGCTGGTGCTAGAGGAGAACAAGTGAAGATGTCAGCATGCAGGGTGGCCTGGCCCCTGGTACCCTCACCCGGCGCCCCTGGGACGAGAGGCTGGCTGGGCCTTGCCCAGGCCCCGTTCCCTGGCCCCAGGCGTGACCCGGAGCTGTGTCTGGCCCTGGCCCCGTTACTGTGGTGAGTGCCTGGTTACTCATTGACCCTGCTCGCCGGGAGGGGTGAGTCTGTAGTTTGTGGAGCGGCGCCCTTCATCACTTGGTCTGGCGCCCAGGGCAGGCCTTTCCATGGATTTGCATCATTCTCTGAGTCGATGAGGGAACACAGCAGAACATCTTTTTGTTTTTTTTTCCCCTTAGTTCAAAACAACTTTCCTTTAGAGGGTCCCCCGGATTGCAGCATTCTTTTCCTTTGAAAGTTCGCCTTTGCCCTTGACCCTTGCATTGTTTTTTAGAGACAGATTGCCTAACGCCCGCTCTCGAGTGAGCAAGCCGGCAGCCATGTGGAGGCAGCGCTGGACACCGCGGGGGATGGTCAGCACGGCGAGATTTCATCACAGTGACAGCAGCTCGTGGCGCTGACCATGGCCACTGTGCAGAAGCCATAGCCGAGAGGCGGTCAGGGCTGTCCCGTGTGCCCTGCAGTGTCCCCATTCTCGGGGTGCGGACACTGGGGCCCCGGGAAGGACAGAATGTGCCTGGGTGTGGATCCACCCTGGGGCCTGGCTGGGAAGCCCTGCACTGCCCACACACCACAGTCCACCCTCTGCAAACTTTCAGAGCCAGATTCTTCTGATCTAGCACATGGCCCACAGTTCCTGCAAGAGAAGATGTGTTTGGAGGTGACTGGTTCGGAGCTGCTTGGCTCACACCTCTGGATCGCAGGGCAGACCCTCCTCTCTCCTGTGGCCTCTGCTTTTCTGATACAAGCAGGGCCCCGCTGTCCTCTGAAGCCGAGGCTTTCACAGCACAGGAGCTGGCCCTGGGACACCCCAACCTAACATTCCTGTTTGACTAGTTGTGGGATATAACTGCCTTCTTGGTTTTGAAAAGATTTTCACGTGAACCCCACCCCACCCCCCAAACTATGTTCCAACTCCTCTTCCCCAGTGCTCCTGACTCATACACACTTTCCCTGCCAAACAGACTCAGCAACAGAGCCCAGGCTCTGTACCAGCTGGGGATGAAAGGATGCATCAGAGTTTGGACTTCACGGGGAGGAGCACCCATGGGCTTAGGAAGCCCCGACTCCCCACTCTCCACCATTCCCTGCTCTCCTTGCCCTGGCTCCAGGGCTGTGTGCTGACTCCGGGGTCCTGCAGTTGTTGGGGGGACAGGGTGCCTCTGCGCAGTGAAGGGACAGGTCAAACTGTGAGCCCATCCTCTGGACCCTCAGCTGGTGGGAGGCTCATGGGTGCATGCAGGACAGGCAGTATTTCTGTGTGATTCTCTGTCCGTGTGTCCTGGACTTGCTCTGCGTCTGCTCCCACTCTTTTGCATGGTCCCTGTCACCCCACTGTGGCCGTGGTCATGTGGGACCCTCCCAGCTGAGGCAGACTGCTTCCAGGCACCGCAGCCCCTCTCTTCCACATGGCGTCCAACACACCAGCATTTCCTCTGTGACAATGTTTGTGGATTGTTTCTCCTAGCTCACGAGGAGCAGGGCTCTGAGCTGTGTGCATGGCTGGCCCACGGGCTGCCTTTCAGCAGCCGGCCCTGTCCAGACTGGAGAAACAGCGGCTGAGCATACGTGTTCCAAACCATTCCATGACTCACATGACAGAGCTAGATCCTGAGTGTACTGCAGACTCTAGCCTGGGACTCCAGGGCTCTCCCTGGACACACTTTCTGCTCTGTTCCAATTCCTCCCTGGGCTATTGCCTCCAAGGCCCACACACCTTTCAGAATATGACTGGGGTAAGGCAAGTCTTTCTGGCCCTGCCACCTGCACTGTCACTGCAGTTCCTGGGCAGGAAGAAATGCTGGTTAGTCCCTCAGCATGCAGATGCAGGCATGGTGACGGTGAGTCTTTGTACATGGTTCCCAAGGATGAAAATACTGAGAAGTAAATATGCCCAGACTCAGAGTTGGAAGTGGGAAAGTTTATTGAAAGTGTAAGAGAAAGAAACTCCCCATCAGGGAGGAACTTAGTAGGACTAAGCTCGCTTATTAAGACTCATTGTAGAAACTTTTGAGGGGAACTGGGTCTTTCTATTTCTTATCAAAGTCTCCAAGGACTCTGTTTGTTTCCCAGAGATACCCCACATAGGGCATATTTGTGTTGCCAAGGTCCATGAACATTTCACATTCCCGCTTAGGCTGGCGGGGCTGTCTGTTTACTTAAGACCTTTTAGAGGATGTATTTCACCACATACCAGGTATTGCCCTGTTATCTCTTAGTCTCCTGTGAGCACAAGACCTGGGGCAGAATTTATGGTCTTGGGAAATGTAAACTTCTCATTCTCAGAAAGAACCCAGGAATTTGCAAGAATGTTTAAAAGGTACAATGGGGCCAGGGAGACAGCACCACGAGGAGGGCATTGACCTGGTATCTCTGACACCCACATGATTCCCCAAGCCCACCAAGAGTGATCCCTGAATGCAGAGCCAAGAGCAAGCCCTGAGCACCTCTGGGTGTGGCCACAAAACAAAAAAACAAAACAAAAGTATAACAAAGACAGTTAAGATGAAACTGCTCATGGCAGCCAGCAGGGAAAACTGAGGTTTGCTCTTTCATACTGGCCTCTTCCCTTTCCCCCGTATCCCTGATGTTTTTATGCTAACTCCCTTCTCTGCTGTTTGGAGAAGCTCTGCTTTCCCTCGGGACCATCTCCGGGAAGCCTCCTCAGCCCCTCTCCGGCTGTTCCCCATCTCCATGGCATTTGCACTGGACTAATGAACTTGCCAAGATCAGCTTAGAATCCACCTTTGATGGAGTTGTGGAGGGACGTCCAATGTTAGTGGGAATGTCATCTGGTTCAGCCCCTGTGGAAAGCAAAATGGGGGTCTCTTAATAAAATAGGAAAAGGACTCCCATATGAACCAGCAATACCACTTGGCATCCACTCCACAAACACAAAAACATTAGAAAGGGCATATTCACCACACTTAGTACAATAGCTAAGATATAGAAATAACCAAATGCCCTGCTCTGGGTCAAGAGATCGTGATTATTATATATACACACATGTATATGTGTATATATACACATATTTACGTATATATACATATCACAGATCATCCTGTTATTCGTCGATTGCCTCGAGCAGGCCCCAGTAACGTCTCCTTCATCCTGGCCCTGAGGTTACATTCAAGGCTCTTTAGGAGAATGAGACCCATCATTGTTACTGGTATTTGGCATATTGGGTACGCCACGGGGAGTTTACCAGACTCTGCCGTGTGGGCAGGCTACATTCGGTAGCCTGCCAGTTTGTCAAAGTAGGAATGAGATGTCATAATAAGATGTCGCGCGGCCGCGAATACACATATACACATATACGTATATACACATATATACGTATACACATATATATACATATGGAATATTATTCTGCTCTAAAAGGGACAAAACCATGTAATTTGCTGCTACATGGACGAAACTAGACGATATCATGCTGCATGAAGTCAGAAGCAAAGGGACAGATACAAAATGAGCTTTATGTAGGTGGGATTCCAAGAAACACAGCGAGGTAGAAACAGAAACACAGTGCTGTGTTGACTTGGGTCTTCTGTTTCTACTTTGTTGCATATCTTTGAGTCCCACCTATGAAAGCTCATTCTGTTTCTGTCCCTTTCCTTCTCACCGAGTTTGGGGGGAGGTGAAAAGGGAGGGGCATTGGGGATCTTGAGGCAGAGGTGGGCACACTGAGGAGGGGCATAGTGTTGGAATTAGGTACATGTGGAACTATCATTAGAAGTATTGTAAATCACAGTATGTCTATGGACAAAGTGAAACATTTACTTCTTGAAAAGTTATTAACAGCCACGACAAGAAATCAAAATGGAAATCTGAAAATGCATAGCACTGTAGCACTGTCCTCCCATTGTCCATCAATTTGCTCGAGTGGGCACCAGTAATATCTCCATCGTGAGACTTGTTGTTACTGTTTTTGGCATATCGAATACGCCACAGGGAGCTTGCCAGGCTCTGCCGTGTGGGCGGGATACTCTCAGTAGCTTGCCAGGCTTTCCAAGAGGGGCGGAGGAATTGAACCCAGTTCAACCACGTGCAAGGCAAATGCCCTTACCCTCTGTGCCATTGCTCCAGCCAGAAAATGCATGAATGGAAAGAAAAAAAAGGTTACACATGAAAATTTTGGGAATGCAATGAAAGTGTGCCCGAAAAACTTGCTTTAGCCCAATGGGCTGGGTGCTTGCCTTGCAAGTGGCTGACCCAGTTCCATCCCCAGCACCCCACCTGTGAACCCTGAGTGCAGAGCCAGGAGTAAGCCCCGAGAATTGTTGGGTGTGGCTCATCTCCAACCCCCAAGGAAAGAGTTAGCACTTGACAGAACTCAACTGCCTCCTCAACAGAATTGCTGCCCTATGGTATGCCAGGGTCAGTCTTGCAATGAGTTCTCTCTCCTCTGACACTAGCTCTGTACTGCAGCCCCAGAGAAGCCCCTCGGTGACACATGTCCTTCCTTCTGGGAAAGGAATATCTCAAGGCCGAAGCTCAAGACACACAGGGGTGAAGTGGGGGAGCTGTCAGGAAGAGCTCTTCCTCTGGGGTGGTCGAAGAGGGGAAGGTCAGGAGAGGGCTCCAGAAGAATGAGTTTATAAGGCTAGGGACGCACAGAGCAGGAGAAGATAGGTACACGTGACAGAGGGTCGCATGAGAGACATCTGTGGCTAGAGAGATGGAGCTGTGAGATGTGAGTGACAGGGAGACACAGAGGAGACAACTGGGCATGACAGACCTCAGAGCCTGGAGAAGAGCATGAGGAACGTCATGGGATAGGGAAGGGGCTGTTCAGTGGGGGAGGGGAACTATGGCTGGACAATGAGCAGACATCAGTAGGGTGCGATGTGAGAGAAGACTGTCTTGGACCTACTGTGCATCTTGAGTCCCTCAGCATCCCACCACCCGACCGAGGCTGTTATGGAAGTCAGACCAACTGGGGCATCAGCAAGGCTGTTGGTGCTCAGCTGTGGTCAGCCAAGGATTCAGGAGGGACTCAGAAAGGACCACACAGGAGCCATCTTGCCTAGGACTGGGCCTCCCTAGGAGGGGAGGGTTGGTGCTGCTCAACCTTCCACCCGCTTCCCTGGCCCTAGATACACACAGACTGAGAGATAACCCATGTGGCCTGTCAACAACAAATGAAAGCCGTTTGTTGTTGACAAGGAAAGGAGGAAGACCTCCCTCCGCGTGGTTGTGACCCTTTGGTTCGCTACTGCTATGAGGCAAGCAGTGGAAACATTTGGGAAATCAATGAACACAGAGAGGAATTTCCACTACGTGCCTGGTGTGAGAGCTCCCGCGGATAGGAGGGACTGGGAGGACAAGTGCTCGATCAGTTGCTGTCCGGATGGCCAGCTGCCCAGTGCCTGGTGAGCAATCCAAGTGTTCAAGGATGAGTCTCTCCTTCCCAAGTGTCATTAAAGAAGCAGGTCAAGAGGAACTCAAGTGTATGTTCACAAAACCTGAATGCACAGAGAAATGATGGGAACACATTTTTCTGGAGATGAAACAAAATTAGGAGGCAACATCAATCATTTAGGAATCAGCTGAACTTTGCTCTGGAAAAACAGTGACAAACATGAACTTGCAACTGCCATTATTTTCGCTAACCTTATTTTGATTGTTGCTTAGGAGACGCCTAAGCTGTGACTGTTTATCAATAGAGTACAGGCAGAACAAAAGTCAAGAGACTTGTGCAAGAGCAGCGTCAGTGACTAGAAAGCGCGTTAGGAAATCAATCCCAATTTGATCATGGATCATGTAAAATCATGACTATACTAAGCAACACAGTAGATTATCTGTATAACATAAGTACAGAAGGATGAGAGAAGAGAGAGCAGTGACACAGGGAAATAGGGTCTCTCCTGAGGTCCCAGAATTGGCCTAGGAAACGGGCATCGGTTTCTCCTGCTCTTTTCCCTAGAGTGTCAATGACCAGATGCATATGAACAAGAGCAAACGTGGCAGGCCTTCTTATTTTGACTTCACTGGGGAATTGTATTTAACTCCCCTGGTTTTGCTCATCTGAAAGGCTTTTTCTCTCTAGCAAAATAGCTGCCTCCTCCTCCTAAGAGTGTTTCCAGGATGGTCCTGGGGAAGATCATCCTAGTCTCTGAAGGCACAATGACGTTTTCACGACAGCCCAACAACTGGAACTTTAAAGTGAAACTCTAAAGTGAAAAATCTGGTCAATCCACCTCCACCTCGTGGTGGGCTCGTGCGGGGACCCGACCCTAACCAACTCTTGGTTAAAGCTGGGTCTGATCAGCTGTAAAGAGGAAGACTGGGGTAGGGCTGCCCTCTGGTCCTCCGTGAAAGTGGTCACCAAGATCTGTCCCTGCAGGTGGCGTGCTACTGGAGATGCACATCACTGGGGCAGGCCTGTCCCTCCTAGGGAGAGGCTGGGATGGTCTCAGGAAAGGGGGATGCAGGAAGTGTGGGGGGGGGGTCTCCTTCCTGCGGGAGCAGCGGGGGTCTGGGCTGTTCCTGGGAACCACCCAGGCTTTGCTTGTGCACACCCACGCGCGCCTTTCCTCATCCTGGGCGTCGCTTCTTCCCCTTGGTGGCACCAGCGGGTCGCTCGGGTTTCCCCTGGGTCAGCAGGGCAGGGCCGGGCACCCCAGGAATAGAACAAACCGGGGTCAAGCGTCCTCCTTCTGTCTGTGCGTCTGTTCAGATGTGCACTTTGGCTCAGATCGGAACCAGAGACCACAGGACAAACAGTCTGAAATCTGACCCCTTTACCCTCCTTCCGCCCACGGTTTGCTCAGAGCCTTGGGTGCACCGGCAAAACAAACTTATTTTGCAGCCTTGGCGGCGAGAGCGCGGCGTGGCCAATCATTAACCCGCGCAGGTGGGCCGGCCGCTCCCTTCAAAAGGTGCGCGCGGCGCTGGGAGAGCATCGGCCCTCAGAGGCACCTCTGGGAGAGCCAGCTCAGCTCTGCTCTGCCCGCAGTCTCTGCCCGCCTAGCCCGTCGGCTCCGACCGCGTCTCTGCCCGCAGCCTCTGCCCGCAGCCCGGCTCCGGCTCCCGGCTCCTCGCTCCGACCATGACCATGACCATGACCATGATCTCGCTGCTGCCGGCGCTCCTGCTGGCTGCACGTCTCTGCGCCTCGGCGCACACCCCCCCGCCGCTGCCCCCGCCGTGGCGCTGCGCACCCTGCCCGGCCGAGAAGCTGGCACTGTGCCCACCGGTGCCAGCCTCGTGCCCAGAGCTCGCCCGGTCGGCGGGATGCGGCTGCTGCCCCCTGTGCGCCCTGCAGCTCGGTGCCTCCTGCGGCGTGACCACTGCACGTTGCGCTAGTGGGCTCAGCTGCCGCCCCCCTCCCGGGGACCCACGACCCCTGCGGGCCCTCACCCGCGGCCAGGGGCTCTGCATGCGGGAATCCGACGCCCTGGCCAGCGCCGAGACCACAGGTAGGAAGGCGGACCCGTGGGCAGCCGGTGCAGGGGCGGCGAGGCTTCTCACAGCGACCCAGGAGACTCCCCAAATTGAAGGGACCAAGCCCGTTCCCGAAGCTCCTCGGCTCTATACACCCCCAGTTCCTGGGGGCGGTAGCAGTGCACGAGGCCTCGGCCCCTGCCCCGCGCCCTTGGTGGGACCCCCCTCCTGCCGGGTAGGGTTTGGAATGTCCTTTGTAAGGCTGGTGCACGGAGACATTTTGTGCCTCCCCAATATTTACAGAACATAATGTAAGAGTTTCCTCAGAAAACTTCACTTGCATTCATTGCCATAGAAAAACAGCGTTTGATGTGTCGCTGCCTCCTAAGCGCTTGGCAATCTGCGCTTTCCTGAATAGAGGAGTGGTTTATTTGTAGTGGGAAGCAGAGGAAATGCCTCCTCACCCCCACTCCCTACTTCCCCATAAGGCAGGCCGAGTCCTGCAGGGGCCAAGGCACCATCAGGATCCCCAACCTGACCCTTCCTTGGAGGGTTGATCTTTCTGCTGCCCCTCTGCCTTCAGAATAACTGAAACTGAGTCATATCGGTGGTCCTGGAGACCATGTCAGCCCAGAGTTCATGGGAACAGTAAGTACTGAATCCAAATCCTAGGACTCCCTCTGGTCAGCCCGACCTCTGCCAGGGCTCCTGAGCTCGCCCTGCAGGAAGACAGCCTGGAGGCGAGAGCAGCTCCATTCCCCAATGCCCATCTTGCCTGGCCACAGGGTATGAATGATTTTATGGTTGGGGAAGCTGGGAATGGGGCTATTCACGAGTGGAAGGTTCTTCCCAAGCCACCTCAGAATGCCCAAGCTTCCATCCACTGCTTTCAAAGCACAGATCCAGGGCACCTTCGGTGGACCCCAAACTTAACTCTTCCCAAAACTGAGTTGTCATTGCTATTGGGTCTGCTCCGCCCAGAAACCAGTTGAAAAGCCCCTTTAGGGACAGAGCCAGTTCAGCTATGATCAGCACAAGCATCTTTACTGCGCAGACGGTTTTCCCAGGACTGGAAGTGATGTTCGGGCCCAAGTGTAGAGGTTCATGGTGTGGGTGTCTCATTCACAGAAAAAACTGAGCCTGCTGTGGAGAACACGACCCCGGGAAGCTCTGAGGTGGCCCAGGAACAGCCCCTGCGCACTGCCCTGCCGGCTACTCCCTCGGCTGAGGACCTGCCCATTCTCTGGAACGCTGTGAGCAATTATGAGAACATCCGAGCCCGCGGGATCACCAACATCGAGAAGTGGAAGGTGAGCCCTGCTTCTGCAGGAACTGTGAGCTTCACCTTGTAACGTCCATGGGCCTTGGGCTGTTTCACCCCGGAAATAAACTTGTCTCTTCTCAAAGCTGTTCACACCAGTAGGGTGCAGGATGGACGGAAACTCTGAGGCTGTAGGGATGTCCTGTCCCTGAGCTTATGTCAGACTAACAGTTCCTAAAGATCATTTTGCCCTACAGAAGCACAGTGCAAGCGAAGGGGCCACCCTGCCAAGTGCTTTCACAGTGTCCTGCAAGAAGAACACCTCCGGTTCCAGGATGTCTGGCTATGACCCCAAACTGACACACCGCTTAGCAAATACACTTCCCTGGAATGTCTTCATCCATGGCCAGTTTGTAAATCTACCACTTGGAGGCAGCAAAGGATTAGAGTTAGTTGAGTTGATTTATAAGAGAAGCATCCTCAGACAGCCCCAGGCAGGACTGAGATGTTTACTTACAGGCTTGAAGTGCTGCAGCCCAGGTGTAATCCCTGGTACCATGTGCCCCCCACCCCCACATCCCACCCCTCAAGTAACTGCCAGCTATGGTCCCAAAATAACTAAAAAAGATCAAAGCACAAAATAAGGGGAGGGCTGACCCATTTTCTGTACTCCTCAGAATTTTATTTGAAGTGGATGACAAACGGAGAAAAATTCTTTCTTATCTCACAGGTTCTAGGTGAATGACTTAATCCTGACTTATTAACCTTAAGCTAAATGACCCGAGTCTAGAGGAAAATTGTATAGTACATTGTGATTTCTGTTCCTAAGTATCTGTTTTAGAGTCTGTTCTTTCTTCCACATGGTTAGCCCCAAGTTGGTTGGTTGGAGATTACTCAGTATTTCCATTTTGACAGCGCAAGACAGACTCATGATCTTCCTTTTATAGACCTGACCCCACAGCTTCCACAACCATTCTGCCACTCGCTTGTTCTTTAACTTCATCATTCACTTTTCTTTGACACTGTCACATTACTTTCTCAGGAACCCTGTCGTCAAGAGCTCTATAAAGTACTGGACAGATTAGCCAAGGAGCAACAGAAGATTGGCGAAGATCTTCACAAGTTTTATTTGCCCAACTGCAACAAGAACGGCCTCTATCACACCAAACAGGTATGTCATGTCTTTGCTTCACAGCCCGAAGAGCCATTCCCCAGAGCACTCCTCCACCCCTAGCATTGTTCATAGGAAGTAAGATTTTACCCCAGAGGGCCAACTAGTAAGTACCCCAGTATTGTGAAGACCAGTGAAATGTTTCCTTGGCAACGGAGAGCATCCATTGGCTCAGGTGCCCTACACTGAGCTTTGCTCCATAGTTCTAAAAGCTGAGCTGGTGGGCTGTCACATGGCTCTCTGGGTCTCGGTGTCCTAGAGCATCAGATGAAGCTACAACCCTGCTCTGGAGAGTGAGTGTCCCTTTGGACACCTCAGCATGTCTCTCATCCCAAAGGGAAACTCAAGAGAATACCTCCAGAACATGTTTCCAGTGGGCCAGTAATTAATAGTATCACACCGGCTGTAATTGCCTCAGGACTCAGGTTTTGTGGCTGTTCCTGGGGAACCCTAGGTCTGGGCAGCGCTCTGTGAGAATCTGTGGAAGGTGGGAGGCCACTGGCTATACCCGCAGAGACCCCAGCTCTGCCAGGACACATGCTGATCCCATCACACCAGAAGTCCTACTATGTGGGTGCTTGTCCTTGGGCCCTCGCCTTCACTTTACAGAAGAGCTGGGAGGGTAGGGCCTCGCTCGGGGCTGACTGGATGTCTGCCCTGCTCCTGTCCCTCTGCCCTTAACATCTGTGCTCTCGTATCTGCAGTGTGAGACCTCTCTCGAGGGAGAGCCAGTCCTCTGCTGGTGCGTTTACCCTTGGAGCGGGAAGAGGATTCGGGGGTCCATGGAGACCACTGGGGACCCCAACTGCCATCAGTATTTCAACTCACAACACTGAGAGCAGATGCAAGCTTTTATATTTCTTCACATGAAATATTTAAGTATACAATACATTTTATACTCTTGAACACGTACCCGCTTACATACGTATATGTATGTGTATATAAGGGGGCACTATTTTGTACTGCACGTATTACCTGATAAATAAAGTTGCAGATATTTATTCATGTGAGGTCCGTTGTTTTTTTTCCCCACATAGTAACTGGCATGATATTAATGTGTATCATGAGACGCTGTTCGTCACATCGTCTGTAAATACTTGTTGAGTTCTTCAAAGATTTGCTCCTACTTCTAATGGGCAGAAAATGTGAAATGCAATGTCTAGGAGTGATTTGTTTTTCCCAGGTGGTTTCATGGTTCTGTGGATGGTTATGGGCTTGAGGGCGATTCCATCTGTATGTTCCAGGGACACTGACAGAAAGTTAAGTGTTGATTATGTGATCAAGCTCGATGGGGCAATGCTACTACAGGTTAAGATGCACAATATCAGAGCAAACATATTTGGAATAAATATTCTACACGGGAGCACTGTCATTGCTGCGACTGCTTCCTGTTGCCTCTGACATGCTTCCCTTCCCAGCTCCATGTCACTGCTGTGGGCTGTGCTGCCTAGTGGCCGAGGGCCCAGCTGAAGTCCTCCCCTGACCTTTCCACGCGCCCCCTCTGCCACTCACAAATGTCCCCCATCTTAAACATGTGAGAGACAGAGCCCCCCTCGAACATCCTCAGCCTGGCCTCTGCCCTCCACAGGACCCTCGTGGGAGTGTCAGTTTGGAGGCTCACCCCTGAGGGCACTCCTCTCTCTTGGGATCCTTCTTCCTTTGTTTTTTAATTTTGGGTTTTGAGACCACACCTGGGGACCCTGTAGGGGTGCCAGAGATCAACTCCGGGTGGGTGTGCAAAACCAGCCCTCCGCATCCTGCTGCTTCTCTCTGGCTCAATTCTTCACCTGCCACCTTGTTCCTTCCACAAGCACTGCCAGGAGTAATTACTGAGCATCACCAGGTGTAGACCCCAAACCAAAAAAAAAAAAAAGGAAGCTTAGCTGTATCCATGTATCATACCTCATACAGAAGTCAACTAAAAGTGAATCAAAGACCTTGAGATTAGACCAGAGTCCATAAAATACAATGAAGAAAATATAGGCAGAACACTCCAAGATTGGGACCTCCAATGTGCAAATGGATCTTTGTTGAACGAAAAAGTTTCTGCATGACTATAGAGACACAGCCTAAAACTAAAAGACACCCAAGTGAGAGGGGCAGAGTGGTTGCACTTAACACATCTGATAAAGGGTTGATATCTATGATATATAAAGTACTTACAAAATCAACAAAAAGAAACCCACAAACCCTATCAACAAAGGAAGGGGGGGAGTGATCAGGCACTTCTGTGAAGGAGACAGATGGATAACCAATAGGTTATCCATAACCAATAGGTTATCCATGAATGAGTGCTCATCATCACTCTCAGAGAAATCCAAATCAAGATGACAATGAGATATCACACACATCCAAACACAAACTATGGTGCTGTAGCCTACAGGACCAGGCATGCAGGTGCTCAGGGGAGCAGGTATTAGGGGCTCCAGAGCTGCCTGCTGGTGCTGGGTGGGGCTGTGGTGTGGACTGTTACTTAGATGTAATACATTTGTCTATTTAATCAACTGTTCCGTGCTTTTCTTATTTTTTTTTCTTTTTGGGCCACAACTGGCCATGCTCAGGGCTTACTCCTGGCTCTGCACCCAGGAGTCACTCCTGTTGAGCTCAGGGAACCATATGGGCCACTGAGGATTGAACCCAGTTGGTCACATGTAAGGCGGGCATCTTATCCACTGAACTATTGCTCCGGCCCTGTTCTGCCTTTTTACATCATTTTTTATTCTGCTTCCACATAAAAATTGCCTCATAACCCATTAACTTCATTTTTTTTTACCAAGTTTATTGTTCAGTCGTGTCTGTTTTATTACTTGTTTCATCTGTTTCACTCTTTATTTGAGCTATTTCACATAGATTGTGCAGTTTTGGTTCTTCTTTCTATATATTGTTTTTGCTTCATTTTATAATTTCTTCCTCAGCTCTTCAAATTGATTTCAAGTATTTTGAGGTGTGAAGATACGGGCCACATGCAGCTGTGTTCCACACTTATTCTTCACTCTGTGCTCAGGGATCAATCCTGATTGTTTTCAGGGACCCATGTGTGATGCCAGTGATTGACCCTAATGTCTTCTGCATGCAAGGCAATCACCTTAATCTCTAAACTCTATTTCCAGCCCCTCACATAAAATCTGTTGCTTGGAGTAACAGTTGTATTTTTTTTTCCAGTGAAAATTAGTCTATTTGACATGTATTTTTTTACTGTTGCAAATTTTTATGGTCCCCCAGTCAGTTACATGACCCCCCTATGGGATCATATCTCACAATTTAAAAAAAGTCAATTTTATTTTCATAAAGTTGTTCACAATAATTGATTACATTCAGTATTTCAACACCAATTCCACTACCATAACATCTTCTCATCTCCTATATTTTGAATTTTTCCACCCCCGCCACCCAAGCCTGCCCCAGAGACAAATGCTAAATAACTTATTGTATTGCTTGTTATGAATAGTATGATATGTTGCGTGGCCATAAAAGTGGCTGCACACTCCTGAAATTCTAAAATTTTAAATAATTGGGGTCCCGAGTCATCTCTGCTGCATCCTGCTCTCTTCCAATATTCATGTGTGAGTCTCTGGATCGTGGCCACTAATGTGCTTAAATGGTACCCAGAGGAGGTTTGTGGGTGTGACTGCCAGGAAACAGGAAGGGCGGGGAGATAGGGGGAGGTGGCTCATTCCCAACTCTGTAAAGCCTGGAGTTTTCAGTCACAGCTCTCGCATACTTGGGTTTTTCAGCAGATTCATTCTCATGCCTAGGGCGCTTGGAACAAGCCTGTGAAGATCAGCTCTGATTGTGGCAGTGATTGCATATCTCACAACTGAAGAAGCTATAAGGTCTAGGGGACAGAGTGATAGTTCAGTGGGGTAGGCATTTGCCTTGCACATATCTGACCTGGGTTTGATTACTGGTATCCCATATAGTCCCCCGAGCACCCCTAGGAGTAATTCCTGAGCACAGAGCCAGGAGTAACCCCTGACCATCACAGACATGGTCCCAAAACAGAACAAAACAAAGAAAGAAAAGCTAAGTTCTAGAGCATAAATGTAGAAAAACACCATTTCTAAGGTTTGGAAGGTAGAGGGGCTGTAGTGGGAGAACCTGGCACGGCCAACTGAAATTCATGATTCTTGGGGTTGGTAGAGACGTGTGAGGGGGGACTAAGTTGTTGACATTGCATCGCATGGACAGGACTGGACAGGACAGGCAGCATCAAGAAGGAAAGATGAGCAAAGATGTGGACTGAGGTTGGAGGGTCGGGGAGGCACAGAGTTGGTGGTTCCCAGGGAGAGAAGCCCCCTGGGTCCCTAGAATTGGCACTGTGTGTAGCTCATAGCTCATAGCTGACTCCAAAGGGCCCATCAAGCTCCTGTGAGGGGGCCCCAGGTAGCCCTGGCATATCTGGATCTATTTTCTCATGCACCAACTCACTCTGTCCAAGGCTGCCTGCTTCCTCCTAGCTCAGGTGACCATCCTCACACCCCACCCATTCCGGTGACCTACAGAACCTCCCCTGCATAGGTCTGTGACAGGAACCTATTCTGCTAATGACTTACAGAACCTCCCCTTTCCTGCAGTGAGCTCTGTGACTGGGGCCTATTCTGTTAATGAGTCAGTTTGGTGATTTCTTGACAGGCAATGCATTTTTTTGAGGCCCCCAAATCACAGACTTTTGCGAGACTCTTTGCCTTGACTCAGTAAAGCTATGGTAATGACTTTCTTTTTTTTTCTTTTTTCTTTATTAATGTTTTTCTTTTGGACCGCACCTTGTAGTGCTCAGGGCTTACTCCTGGCTCTGCACTCAGGTATCACTCCTGGTGGGCTTGGAGGACTCTATGAGGTGTTGGGGATGGGAACTGGGCTGGTTGTGTACAAGGCGAGCTATACTATGGCTCCAGTCACAGGATTGGTTTGTCTGAGGATGCAGACCACTCAGGCCTGAGAGCCCTCCAGTGTCTCCCAAGGTCTCCCTCTCCCAGTTCTTGTCCATGTCCTTTCTCCAAGCAGAGGCAAAGGGTCAACAAGATAGGACTCAGACTGGAAAGATAGTATAGTGGGTAGGGCTCTTGTCCTGCATGCGGCCACATCCAGTTTAATTCCTGGCACCATATTTTGCCTGAGCAATCACCAGAATTGATCTGAGCACAGAGCCAGGATTTAGCCCTGAGGATGGGGGTGGATGTCCCTTGCATCCCTCCTCCTGCCCCCAAATGAACATGGGCTAAGTTGTCTAGCCTGTTCCATGCCTTGCCTCAGGGTTAGTAATATTAGAGCAAGGAAGACCAAATCCTAAAGGCAGCAAGGGCTGAAGACTTGGCCACCCGCCTGGGAGGTGCAGCTACTGGGGATTCATGACAGAGGAGATTCCCAGACACCAATGTCTTCCCTCCTTGGGGACTGTTGCCGGGCTGCAGGCAGGGAAAGGTTCTGCTCATGATTTCTACTGCAGCGAGAGGCATTTGGTGTCCCTGGATGATTTGGTTGAAAAATCACTACTTTGTATTTTGAAAAACAAAACAAAACAAAACAAAAAAACAAACAAGGAGAGAAAGAGTTCTTTCTGGTAAAAACTTTTATTTACTATTTATAAATACACTGCAAGACAAACTTTTCAAAAATATTCCCCCCCCAAAAAAAAACTTAAAAAAAATAAAGAAAAGATGATAGGTAGGTGACTGTTTCGAGACCCTTCTATGCTCCCGGGAGGGCGGAGTGCCGCATGCATTGGAGGCAGGAGGCGGGCCTGGAGGTCTGGCCCCCCCGCCCAGGCATCCCTCCCCGTGGTCACGCATGTATTTACATTTTCTAATATCTCTACATCTCATCTAGGATTAGCTAATATAGGTCCTATGATATTGGACTATGATGTGTATACAATGTCAACGAAGAAAACGCTTTCTCGGTATATATGTGTGAATCAAAAGATAAAACCAGAACGACTGACCACAAAGCAACCAGCACAGCCAGTCTCTGTGTGTTCCACCAGTCCCCAACAAGCCTTCTTCCCCTTTCAAGACAATTCTGATTTCTTTTATTGTGTTTATTGTCCATAATGCCTGTGAAAATGAAGGGCTCCCATAGTGCCTTGCCCCAACCCATCCCAACCTGGGGAACCTGCAAAGAGCCGTCACAGGCCTTTCTGTGTCTTCAGGAACGTTCTGGGTTCTTTTTGCTATTGAGTTAGATTCAACCTTACTCTTGCTCCAATTCTGGCCCAATTTCGGCCATCTAAGAGGACCAAGCATCTTGCTGGTTATCAGCTGGGAGACAGAGGCCCTTGCCACTAGGATGCTGGTTGGGGTGTTCAGGCGCCAGGAGTGCAGGGGATCCTGCCTGTCAGCTGATGGGGCTGGCTATGAAGCACACAGTCCGGCTGCTGCTGTCAGGACAGGCCAGAGGTCTGTGAGGTGTGGGGGCAATGAGGCTGGTCTACTCCCTGGGGCTGACAAGGAGTTTTAGAGAAAGCGAGAAGAAAAAATCTGACTGTGTTTCACTGACTACTGGAAAGTAGAAAGATGCTCAAATATAAAAGAACCCTAGGCACTTCAAACGTGTTTCTCCAAACTTTGGTTCTGAAAAAAATCAATTCACCACATAAAGAAATAGAAATCGAGGCTGTAGCCAGCTGCTGGTCATGTACTTGGCAGTTGCTTGTGCAAAATAAGGCGTATTTGATCCCACGTGAACTAAAACACAAAGAGAAAGGAATGTATTCAAGTAAACCCCTCAAATGATCACGGACAAGCTTCAACCCCAGGCTAGACAGGCAGCCTCACAGAGATTGGGAAGGTTTAGGGCTCACCCTGCACTTGGCTCACCATTCATTCTAGATCAGAGCTTAGGTAACATGATCGCCATGTACCTTAATGAAGAAAGAGCACTGCACAAAGCTTGCCTATTCCCAACTAACGTTTTCCCAACTTGCAAGGCAATGGAACTTATCTCAAAAAATGAATTTTTCTTCTGCTAAATTTCTATTGAAAATTAAAAAAAATGTATTTATTTTATTCCCCCACGATGGATCTCTGGATTCTTAAGAAAAGCATATGAAAGCATTTCATCCCCCCAAATCAGGCCCTCAAGGTTCATATTTGTATTAATTTTATTAAAAAATTACCAAATTTATAGTAATCACACACTATCAGAAGAGTTATAGATTAAAAATAAAGCCTCATTTTGGTTTAGAAACACTTGCCTCTAACAAGTTCTTTTGGAGTAAAACAGTTTAACAAGTTATTTTGGATCAAAAGAATGGTGGAAATAAAAGAAATCAACAGGTTTTTGGGGAAAGACTATTTGGAAAAACCCCCTCCTACATCGGTAGGGCGTTCGCCTTACAAGTGGCCAACATGGCCGACCCGAGTTCGATTCCTTTGCCCCTCTCGGAGAGCCCGGCAAGCTGCCGAGAGTATTCGATATGCCAAACACAGTAACAACAAAGTCTCCAATGGAGACGTTACTGGGCCCGCTCGAGCAAATCGATGATCAATGGGAGGGCCTTTACTTTTTTATGAAAGTTTAGGAATTCTAAGCACTAAGGCTAAACCAATCACTCCCTGCATCTTTCCATGTCTGGGTGTCCCCTTGTTCCCTCCTGAAATGCCCTGCTGAGCTGTTTCCAGGGCCAGGGGCAGCTCAAGGGTCACCAGCCCCTGGCCACGGGCTGGCTCCCGCTCCCTCCTTCCCCTCCCCCTCCAGGGCACCCGTCCCCCAGAGCCCCCAGCTTACATGGCTGCAGCAGAGTCTACTTGCTTTCCAGGTGGTAGCACTGGACATCGCCCTTGCCCTTGGTGTCGTAGCCTGGGAGGGGCTGCCCATACTTGTCCACACACCAGCAGAAGCCCCGCTTCCGGCCTTTGGAGGGGCGGCACTGTGGGAGAAGCACAAAACTCTCGTGACCTCAGCGGTACTGGCAGGGCTGTGAACACAGGGGAATGGGAGCCATGTAGGGACCTGGGGTGTTTGGAGAACTGCCGTGGGCTTCCCAGGGAAAAGTGGGGCATGGAAATTTTGTGTCCTTTGGGGTTAGGAAGAAGCAGTGGACACTGACATTGCATGAGGGAAGGAGAAGTTGCGGCCGGTTTAGGTGCTTCCTTCTCAAGGGCTACTAAGTGGCTGAGAGCATGTCAACAGAATCAAGCAACGGAGTAAATTATTGATAGGAATAAATACGTGTAACAAAGAAGCCAAAACAAAATAAAAATCAGTGCCCACTGAAGAAGATGGCCTTCCGACGTGGGCTCTCCATGGAGGCCATCACAGCCATGGTGTTCGGAGGCTCATCATGGTGACAAAGGCCACAGTGCAAAGGACTCGGCTTCACCAGGGCGGCAGCTGTGGTGTGAGAGGCCATCTCCAGAGTCACTTACTGTGGCTTCCAGAACCTCCCTCCAATGGTTTTGGTCCTGGACCCCTTGTGGCCATGTGAAAGACACATGTGCAAAAGCCTGGTACCTTCCAACCAGATAGCCTCTGTGATATTTGCTACAGCTCCGGGGTGTTCAGATGAGCCCTGGTGCTCCCCAGGGGAGCTGGGAGGGAGCCAGGAGAGCAGAGGGTGATGTCGGGCTGCTTGGAGGGCAGCATGCCCAGCTGCTGTGTGTCTTGGAGGGTGCAGGGCAGGGGCGTCTTACCTGCTTCTTTTTGTAGAAGCCTTTCTTATCACAGTTGGGGATGTGCACTCCCCGCGGGCTGAGCATGTTCATGAACTTGAGGTGGTTCAGCATGTCCTCCATTTCCCGGCGGCAGGGACCCTGGGGAGCAGCCTTGGTCACCTGGGAGTCTCTATGCCCTCCCTTTGGTTGTCCTTACCACAAGGATGCCCGTCTGGGATTCCCAGGGCCGGGCACAGAGAAGACACAGAAGCCATGTGTTTTGGCAGTGAAAGGAATGATGGCCATGTTCTTTATGAGAACATTTCCCGTGCCAATGTTCTTGCTTTGTGTTTTGTTTTTGGACCATATCTGTCAATGCTCAGAGCTTATTCCTGGTGGTGTTTGGGGGACCATATGGTTGCTGGAGACTGAACCAGGATCGACTGTGTGCAAGGCAAGTGTCCTCCCTGCTGTCCTATTGCCCTGGCTCCAGGTGTCAATATTGCTTTGTGCTGATGTTGAGTAAGCACTGCTCTGTGCCAAGGCCCTTGGATACTCTGCCTCGCCCTCTGCCAGTCTGCCCTGAGCTCCCAGGATCTCCCCGGTGGGCCTGGGGATAGAAGGGGTTCTGTGGTTGGACCACTGGAGCAGTCCCGAGCACTAAGGAGCACCCCTGCGCGAAGGCCCAGGAGAGGGAAGCACTCACATAGTCTGTCTCCTTTTTGGACTCAGAGGAGAAGTTCTGGGTGTCTGTGCTCTGAGACTCGTAGTCCACTTTGTGGCGCTGGCTGTCCTTGGCGTGCCCCTTCCGGAGGATGTCAATTTTGGTGTGAGCAGGGTGGGATTTGGAGTCGGGAGCGTGGGGTGTGCTGCGGACGGCCTGGCTCTCTGTGCTCCTGGCACTGAAGCTTTCCTCAGACTCACTGCCATTTCCTTAAAAGCGGCAGGAAACAAAGACATGAGTGTCACTGACATTCAAGACAGTTTTCAAGATCTACATAGTGCAACTATGTAGTCAGAGCTAAGAGGAAATGTTATTCAACAATTCAGATGCAACTTAAGAAAATCCTTGATGAAGAATGAATACTCCATAGTACAGGCTATGAAAGCTTTACTATGCAAATCCCTTTATTATCATTAAAATCCTTTTTTTTTTAGGGGAGGGTATTTTGGGCCACATCTGGTGGTGCTCAGGATTCACGCCTGGGCAGTACTTGGTGGACCATATGAGGTGCTGGAGCTCAAAGCAAGTTGGCCGCATGCAAAGCAAGTGCCTCAAGCCCTGTTCTATCTCTTTGGCTTCACAAAACCCGTTTTTTTTTGTGAGCCACAACAGGTGATGCTCAGGATTGCTCAGAGCTCTGTACTCAGAAATCGCTCTGGTTGTGCTGCGGGGCAAGGGGAGGCGCTCAGCTCCAAGTGTTTCCGTTTCCACCAGCAGAGGGCAGACGCGAGGCAGGCAATTTGGAAGTCGTATAGGTCTGCTCCAAAGCTGGGTTTCGCGCCCTTTGGGGTCTCCTGTCCCACCCCAACACACGCACACAACCCCCAGCCCTGCCTGCCTTGCGGAATCAAACACGCTTGGCTGGGGTTAGTAACATTTCTGCAGGGGCGAGTGGATTCTCTACAGAAAGAGCCGCTTTGCGCCCTGAGCTGTCCCCAGGGCGGGCGCACAGGTGTCTGGCCACATGGTCCTCACGAAGCCCCCGACCAGGGGCCGCCTCCTGACCCAGACAGGAGCATAAGCAGTGCTGGCACCCAAACTCATCTCTGGGCTCACTTGCTCCAAAGAGTTTTCACACCCAGAGAAAGCACACCTATTCCTGAACGTGCAGATGGAGGATGAGGCTAGAGAGAGGCTAGACTTTGATGTCTGGGAATTTAAGGATTATTATTTTCCAGTTTTGGACTACTCCTTGCTTGAGCGCAGAGACCACTCACTCCTGGCCGGGTTCTGGGAATCGAACCCAGCCCGGCTGCATGCGAGGCAAGCGCCTTCCCTCTGCACTGTCTCTCCCTCCGGGACCCTCTTTCACCAGGCAGAGAGCTCCCTTCCTTGCCCAGGAGGAAGGGGTGGGAATGGGGGTGGGGACGGTGCCCGGGAGGCGCCGCGGGGCGCCCGCCGAGGCTCACAGCCACCCTGGATAAATGAACTCAGCTAGCAACGCCTTCAACGTATTCCATGGGTCTAAACCGCAGGCGTTAGTGGTTAAGCTCTCCCACCTGCCCTTCTCCCCAGCAGGAACCAGCTGGACTCAGGACTCGCTGGGAGGATGGATGGCTCGGGTCTGGCTCTGCGCCCAACCGCGCTCGCGCTCCTCCAGTCCGCCCTGAGTGGGCCGCGGGCTGGGGGCTCCCCTTCTTTGCAGAGGAGCAGCTGCAAAACTACCAAGGGGTCAGGAGCCCGGGGGAGGTTCTTAATTGGCAGGAACTGGTTTCAGTTTTCTCCCACCCTCTTTTTCAGGGACGCCCAGGAGCAAGAGAAATGCTACGAGATGCTGAGAGCTAAGAAGCGCTCGCATCTCATCTTCCTTCCCAGAGCTGCCGAAGGTCTGCCGCTTCCTTAGTTTCTTCACGATTCCCGCGGACTTAAGCATGCATGTTGAGAAAACATTTCCATTTAGACCACAGATTCTTAACTTTTGACCGACATCTACGTTCCCCCCTCCACCAAAAGGTTCTTAGACGTCACTTCCATCTTCCGATCGTTTAAAAAGAAACGCATTCAACTGAGAGTAATCACAATGCCAATTAAAATCTCGCAGGAAAGGATAGTTGCCAGAACTTCTGCCATCACTTTCTGAATATCTGACAATGCAGTGAAATAAAGCAGCAGACAACCAATAGCGGGGTCGCCCTGAAGGGTAAGCCCATAACAATCAGGAATCTAGGCTTCAGGCAATGGAGACGCTGCCCTCCCACTGATCCTGGAATTTCTCTGGGATAAAAACGCTTTGCCAGACAAGGAAATAGCTTCCCGCCCTGTGCGCAGAGCCCCCCTCCCCCCAGGAACTAGCCCTACAGCCCTCGCGCTCCGTCTGCAGAGCAGAGGCGGGAGAGGCGCTTTCTCGCCTTCTCTGCGCTGCAGCCCCGAACTGGCAGGCTGCCGAATTCCAATGGAAGGCGGCTCTCAGGAACAGCCTGTCTGCCCAGCGAGCCACTTCAGTCTTCCTCTGGGACCCCCTTCACCACACGCTCCCATTTTGGTTAAGATTCTGGGGGTTTATCCCGTTCCTCTCGGCTGTCGATGAAACGCGGGTTCCACACTGTCGCCCCGCATCCCACCCGCCACTCTTCCCAGGGACTGCACAGGCGCCTAAGACAGGCCGGGGAGGGGATTCAGTGAGTGACCCTGCCCCCCATTCCCTTTAGGGGACCTTGTGGAACTACTTCCCCCCCCCCGAACCCCAGGTTCTTGATTGCAAAAGGCCACACACGACTCCCAGCCCACTCTTTCTAGAAAGCCACGGGGCGCGCTCCTTGCTCTGTAAATCCCCAACCTGAGCCAAGGTCGGTATTCTGGAAGGTTGGCTCTCTTTTCTGCCAGGTGTCTGCATTCCCGGCCCAGAGCCTCCCCGAGGCGCCCTCCAACTCCCCAGACAGCCCTGGCACCCACACAGCCGCTCAGCTCCAGATACGTGGGCACAGGCACGTCCCACAGTCGGACGCGCCGTCCACGCCCACCGCGCGCGCCTGTTCCGGACTCTCGCCTGTTCCGACCCGGACTCTCGCCTGTTCCGACCCTCCTACTGATCTGCTTCCTTCCTCTCCGCGGAAATGCTTTGACCCAGTTTCGCTGAACACACTTTGCGGCCCCGGAGAACCCAGCGCGCTGCGCGGTGACGTCGGGCGCGCGCGTCGCCTGCGGGACTCAGTTTCCCTAGGCGCCAGGGCGCGCAGGTGGGCGAGAACGGCAGTCTCCGCAGTGTTCTCGCCTCAGCCCGCGCCGCGGGGTGCTGGGGAGGCGGCCCAGGCGCGGGCGGCTCACCTGGCGCGGACGGCGCCCCCGGCGCGGGCTGCAGGGGGTCGCGCAGACGGCCGTCGGCGCTGCCGTTGGCACAGACCCCGCGGCCGTCCAGCAGCGCCTGCAGCGGGCGCGGCTCCCCGGGCGGCGGCTGGCAGCGCAGGCCGGCGCCGCAGCGCTCCGTGTAGACGCCGCACGGCTGGCCCAGACTCAGGGCGCACGTCAGGCAGCAGCCGCAGCCCGGCTCGCGCACCAGCTCGGAGCACGCGGACGCGGCGGGCGGCGGCGGGCACTGGGCCAGCGCGCGCTCATCGCACGGCTCACAGCGCACCACGGGCCCGGCGCCCGCCGCGCCCGCCCCGGCCCGCGCCCCCGGAGAGCCGCCGAGCAGGGCCAGCGCGGCCAGGGCCGCGGCCCAGAGAACGGGGCGCGCCCTCTGCATGACGCCCACCGCGGGGGAGCTGGGGACCGAGCACAAGGCGCGGAGCGAGATGGGCAGGAAGCAGCTGGCGTCTGTCCTCTGTGCCGCGAGGCCGCGTTTGCTCGGAGACGCCCGGCGCGGGTGGCTATATAGAAGCCCGACGGCCGAGGACACGCCCCGGAACGCCGCGCTGGGCTGGGGTGGGGTCGGGGGCGGACCCGTGCCGACCCGGCTTCTGGGTCCCGTGCCTCGTCCCCGGCAGGCCGCCCGGACACCTGCTGGGCGCGCGCTCTTGGTCATCTCCACCTCGTGCCCCGAAATTGAGGGGCCCGGCTACCCCGCACCCCAGACACAGGGTCCCATCCCTCCGGTCCCCCCCGGGGCAGTGGTCTCCGAAAGGCCCGCACGCCGGGGCGCGCCTGGCGCTGCGCTGGTCCTCACGTTCCAGCCCGAGCCGTCGGGTCCCCAAGGTCCCCAAGCCGTGGGTCGGCGCCGAATCCTGCCGGTTCGGGTCTCTGCGGATGCGCACGTGCTCGCGCCCAGTGCTCCCCGCAGATTTCTGGGTCCCCAGTTTGTCACGTTGCCAGGTGTCGGGCACGCCGCGTCGCACCTGTTCTGTTTCCGAGTTTTGCCCGATCGCGCTTTTTCACAGCGCTCGCACCCGCCACGGAAGCAGCGAAACGCCGCTCACGGCTAAGCCGTCCTTAACCCGGATGGTTTTCACTCTCAGTCTTGGCAAAGCCGCCTTGGGTTACGGGACCGAATTCTGTAGAGAGGGTTGGGACAGCGCGCGCACACACACACACACACACACACACACACACACACACACACACACACACACGGAGCGTTGGGAACTCTCGCTTGGAGCGGAGAGGAACCCGGGATGCGCAGGATGCGGACGGCGGCTGCTGCGCATCCTTCCCGGGGTTACGGGACCGAATTCTGTAGAGCGGGTTGGAACAGCGCACACCACACACACACACACACACACACACACACACACACACACACACACACACACACACACACACGGAGCGTTGGGAACTCTCGCTTGGAGCGGAGAGGAAGCCGGGATGCGCAGGATGCGGACGGCGGCTGCGCATCCTTCCCGGGCCCGACAGAGGACGCTCGTGTACCAGGATTAAAGGGAGGGTTCCTTCCGAGGCGCTTCTAAAACTGGGCCTGATCAGCCCTGGGAACCCTTGAGACCTCTGCGGGGACTTTCCTGCTTGCTGTTGAAACTGCCCCTGGGAGAGGAAGAACGTGCAGTTCGTGGTAGGAGAGCAGCAAGTGGGGAGCTAATGTGTCTCCCCCTTCAGCCACGCTTCATAGCCCTTGTCATGGGTATAATGAGCTTCCTTCCCCCATCCCCCGTCCCTTTCCTCTCCTCTTCTGTTCTCTCTGCTCCTCTCGACCTCTCCTCCTCCCCCATTCTCTTTACCCTTCTTCCCTTTCTCTCCTCAGTCTCTGTGTGTGTGTGTGTGTGTGTGTGTGTGTGTGTTTCTTTTTGGGTCACACCCCGCGATGCACAGGGGTTACTCCTGGCTCTGCGCTCAGGAGTTACTCCTGGCGGTGCTCAGGGGACCATATGGGATGCTGGGAATCGAACCCGGGTCAGCCGCGTGCAAGGCAAATGCCCTACCCACTGTGCTATTGCTCCAGCCCGGTGTGTGTGTGTGTGTGTGTGTGTGTGTGTGTGTGTGTGTGTGTGTGTTTTATGTGTGTACATTCTCCTTTAAGAATGTAAAACCAATTTACTCATAGCAACTAAACATGAGTAGTAACAATGGAAAACCTTTCAACAGGGCAAGAGGCCGAAGACGAAGGCAGTTGCTGCCCTGCGCTGTGCAGGTGCCCGCCTGACTGCAGCCCTGCACTGCGTCCTGCTCTCTTCTGACCTCAACTCCTCTCTTCCCCGCTGCAGCTGCGTGTTCCCTGCCTTGGCAGCCGCGAACAGCTTCTCTGCTTCCACTGTGAAAGACGGGAACTAACAGGTCCCCACGTTGTATTTGAGGCCTCGGCTCTGAAAGCAGAGCGTGCGGGATTGTGTTTTCAGATTCCCTGCGTGGCGGATCCATTCCTCTGTTCAGTACAACGTTGAACAGATTGCTGGGCTGGTCACCCTCCGCAGGACAGTGCCTCTCAGTGATGCCGAACAGTGGACAAGGGAAGCCCAGAGAAAAGCTTCTTAGTTCTCTGGTGTCCCCAGAGCCTTGACTTGTCCTGTCTTGGCAGAATAAAGGCCTCCTATGTGTTCCTGAAGTGTGTCCCTAGAGGCTACATTGCTCAGACACTGGAGGCCTTGGGAAAGGACAATTTCACACAGATGGTGAACACCTTTAAGGAAAAGCTTGCAAAGGTCAAGTCTACCTAGAGCAAGGGCTCGGGGTTATCTGGTTCACCCTTGTCATCTTTGGGCAGAATAGAAGGAGACCTTTCCTTCCCCCCACACCAAACTCATCCAGGAAATGCTGTTACAGGGACGATTTGAATTTGGCCTGTTAGTCCATTTTATAAAACTGTAACTTAGTATAATTTAAGTATGGTATGGTGCTGTGGTTATTAAAGTAAACTAGAATGGTGGTTAGTGAGGAAAACTTTTTTCTCCTGCTTAAATTTCTTGGAGAATAGTTCCTTAATAATTATACAATTGTACATAACCGAGCTGGAGCGATAGCACAGTGGGTAGGGCGTTTGCCTTGCACGTAGCCCACGGGGCCAAACCGAGTTCGATTCCTCCTCCCCTCTCGGAGAGCCTGGCAAGCTACTGAGAGTATCTCGCCCGCATGGCAAAGCCTGGCAAGCTACTCGTGACGTATTCAATATGCCAAACACAGTAACAACAAGTCTCACAATGGAGACGTTACTGGGCCCGCTCGAACAAATCGATGAACAACAGGACAACAGGAGGACAGTGTTACAGTGCACAACCATCAGTGTAACAGACTAGAAGGCAAACGTCATCCATCCCGCAAACACAGCTCGGTGGCTTGATTAAAATGAGTGATTGCAAGGACCAGCCTGTTTATTTTGACCAGAGAACGTAAACTGCACGTTTCTTTGCACTCACTGTAGATGTCCACCTTCATGTGACATAGACTTCCTTGCTAGTCTACAGCCAATCAGATTGGCATCTTCTACTTCTGCCCAGGTGAGGTTGATGCACAGGGAATGAGACCAAAAAAAAAACCCCCCCACACAGGAGACAAACACACATGGACTGGTCACCTGGGAAGCCATCAGTGGTCTTGCAGGTTAATGTCTACTCAGTACCGTATTTGTCCTCTGCCCTGACTCCCAACTCATGTGCCACCATTTGCACTGACAGAGACACGAAGGCCAGTGAGTGGCACCAACGTTCAATAGGTACATGAAGAGCAGAGACTGAGTAGTTCAAAGAGCTGTGAAGCAAGAGCCCCTCGGAATCAGGGCGAGAGATTCCTATTCTATTCCTGCCTAGGTTGCCTGATACATCTCAGAGGGAACTGTCCCAACCTCACGTCATTGTGAGGTGAACGATTTCCAATCTACATACTTGCTTCTCTAGGGTCTTAGCTGCACGTGGCTGCAGATTTCCCTGCCATGCCCCCAAGATGGGATGTCTGGGAGGGGCAGAAGGCTCTGAACTGGAAGGTCTTAACTCTTTAGAAATAAAGGATTGGCATGGATGGCAACTTACTTGCAGTCCTTTCAGGTGATGTCTTGTGGGTTGAGTAAATTCTGAACCTTCATTCCCTGTCTCGGTGAAGCCCTGGGCAGTGTCTCACAGGAATCACAGAAGGGTTAAGTCTTAGACCTTTTCTCAGCTGGGTTCAAGGGAAGTAAATGTTCACTGCTATGCTCACAGCCACCTGAGCAAATCTTAAATTAGAGGATCATGTTTGTCTTTTTTGGGCCACAGCTGGTGGCGCTGAGGGTTGATTCCTGGCTCCGTGCTCAGGGGTCATTCTTGTTGATATTCTGAGCACCCTATGAGGTGGTAGGGATTGAACCCAGGTTTGCTGTGTGCAAGGCAAGTGGTTTCCCCACTGTGCTATTGCTCCAGTCTGAATTAGGGACCTTTTTTTTGTGGGGGTTGTTGTTGTTTTTGGATTTTGGGCCACACATGCAGTGCTTTGCTTACTCCTGGCTTACTCCTAAGGGATCACTTTTGGCAGGCTCAGGGACCACATGCGGGTGCTGGAGATTGAGCTTCATACAAGGCAAGTGCCCTACTTGCTGTACTGTAATTCTGACCCCCGGGCGTTTTCTGAAATCAACACTCAGTCCTCAGCACTCTTCTCACTGTCTTCCTTGGTAGCTGAAATATCAAACTGTTTGCAGTTGATGCTACTTTTAAGAATGGGGAATGTATTTTGCATGCAGTTCTGCCATATCAATATTGTAAATAACGATGCCTGAAAAAAGAACGGGGTTCAATATTCATTCATCTTGCAGGCATTTTTTTTATCCTGCTAATTTGTGCTAATTTGTGCTTGGCAGCAGTGGTCAGCCCTGCCCAAGGGGCTGGCTCTGCCTCTTCTTGCAAATTTCCCAGATTTACCATGGCACTAGCTCCTCTGCTGTCTCTCTGTTAATTGGAAATCAGGTAATTTCTCCTTTACCTCTTGCTAATTTCCTAGGGGATCATGCAGACATTCCGTGGCACCTCCTTCTGTGTATTTCTCTCTGCTTTTACCTCATCTCTGCATGAATTCTTTCTTGTGCTATAACTGACATCCAAGGGAATGCAAATCTGAATATACAATTCATTTTTGTATATGTATATACCTATGACCTCATCATCACAGTCACTTCCATGGCTATTTCCCCCCCAATCTCTTATCCACTTGTAATCTTGAACACTCCCTCCATTCCCGCCCCCACCCCGCTATCTCCCCACCTGCCCAGGGCAGCCATTCATCTCTTTTCTGTCACTCTAAGATTAGTTTGCATTTTCTAGAGTTTCCTGTAAATGAAACCACAAATCAGGTATTCTTTTCCAGCTGGCTTTTTTACTCAGCATAATTGTCTTGAGA